TGCACTTATTCATTCTGATCATGTTGACTGTGGGTGTAGTGTCTCACATTAACATTACTGTCACTGAGACTCACGTTGTGTTATGCAGAAGGCATGCAATCTTTATCACTACACCAATAATAACAGTAATTGCTGTGGTTTATAATTTCATATAGCTAGCTGTCACATTCAGTTTTGGTTTCAGTTTCGTTTTTATGGAATTTTAGTTTTGCATTTTTTCTGGTATTTCCTTTTTCCATGATTATCATAGTTTCTCAGTATGTTCTCATTTGTTACCAGAGTTAAGTCATTCAAATCATGTTCTCTTTTTACGTTTTTGTTCACCATTTGTCAATAAAACTTCACTTGGGCTCTCAACTTTGGCTTATATAGATTAACCTTACAATGTAACATGGCTGTTTATTAGTTCTTATTAGGCACATATTAATGCCTTATTCTGCATGACCATATTACGGTATAACAAAAAATAAACAAAAAGATGGCGAATAATATCTACTACTGTTATAAAGACTATCATTGTGGAATATAATTATACCCTACATTTACTATTTATCAAGAACAACAACTAACATGTAAAACAACATGATAAGAAATTAAGTTTGGAAAAGTGTTACTTGTGACCCAGCTCACATTAAAGAATGCTTTCATCTGCACTGCAGTGCTGTTGTTAGTCTCTGCACAGCAAGGGTTTCTAAAGTGCATACAGCATACACTCTTAAAAATAAAGTTTCTTTATTGGCATTGATGGCTCCGTGAAAGAACCTTTAACAAGCCATGATGCCTTTCAATTGCACAAAATGTTCTTCACAATAAGAAAAAAATGGTTCTTTTAAGAAAAGTTGAATGAAAGGTTCTTAAGGGAACCCAAAGTGGTTCTTCTATGGTATCGCTGTGAAAGCCTCCATTTAAAACATTGATTTTTAAATAGAGTACAGCCCAATTTTCTTCAGGGTCAAACCCCTTAATTCCCTGAGCAACATTTTTATTGAGTACGAGGTGTAAATGTCTCTCTTCACTGCTCTTCTGGAAGTCAAAGTGAGTGTTTTAGTCATAATTCCATGCATCTAGCCCTGTGTGAACAATTGCATGGTACATAAATCAGCCGTTTTTAACTTACATGTTTGTTTAATGACCTGTGAAGGTGAGGGGAATGCTGATGAGCCATTGTGACCTACTGAAGGGCAAAGATGGCAGTGGCAGGTGGCTAGGGCTTTGTTGATGACTCAAATAAAGTTATTCAAGCTTTACAAATCCATTTCAGTCACTCTTCCTTTGTAGAGTTATAGCTGCAGAGCTTGGAATGCTTCATAGTATAAATCAATAGAAAGCTGCCTCAATCAATAAGCTATTTGGGATTAAATTCTGTCATCGTCCTCTCTCTGGAGCTGGACTGGCACAGGTTCAATGAGATGGCCAAGAAATGCGTCCTTTCACTAATATTAAATGCTGTAAAGTGTGATAGCAAATGTATTTGCTAGAGAGTGTTTGTTCTGTTTTTTTTTTGGCTCACTGTTTGATGTCTTTCATCGATGTCTCAAATGGATGATGTCTTGGCATGTGGCTTTAAGTTTTCAGATAGTGTATAAATAACTATTTCTAAAGGTCTTTAAAAATCTAAGTTAAACCCTGATGGGAAAAAAA